GCGGGATCGTGGGGGTCCGGGTGGGAATGCTGGGGTTCTGTGTGGGACCGTCCCAATTCCGTGCGGGATCGTGGGGGTCCCGTTGGCAATGCCGGGGTTCCATGTGGGACCGTCCCAATTCCGTGCGGGATCGTGGGGGTCCTGGTGGCAATGCCGGATCCCATGGGGCCGTCCCAATTCCGCGCGGGATCGTGGGGGTTCGGGTGGCAGTGCCGGGGTTCCGTGTGGGACCGTCCCAATTCCGCACAGGATCGTGGGGGTCCGGGTGGGAATGCCGGGGTTCCATGTGGGACCGTCCCAATTCCGCGTGGGAACGCTGGGGTCCCACGTGGCAATGCCGGGGTTCCGTGTGGGGCTGTCCCAATTCCGTGCGGGATCGTGGGGGTCCCGGTGGCAATGTCGGGGTTCCATGTGGGACCGTCCCAATTCCGTGCGGGAACGCTGGGATCCCATGTGGGAATGCCGGATCCCGCGGGACCATCCCAATTCCGTGCGGGATCGTGGGGGTCCGGGTGGCAATTCCGGGGTTCCATGTGGGACCATCCCAATTCCGTGTGGGATCGTGGGGGTCCCGGTGGCAATGCCGGGGTTCCGTGTGGGGCCGTCCCAATTCCGTGCGGGATCGTGGGGGTCCCGGTGGCAATGCCGGATCCCGTGGGACCGTCCCAATTCCATGCGGGATCGTGGGGGTCCCGGTGGCAATGCCAGGGTTCCATGTGGGACCGTCCCAATTCCGTGCGGGATCATGGGGGTCCCGGTGGCAGTGCCAGGGTTCCATGTGGGACCGTCCCAATTCCGTGTGGGATCGTGGGGGTCCGGGTGGCAATGCCGGGGTTCCATGTGGGACTGTCCCAATTCCGTGTGGGATCGTGGGGGTCCCGGTGGGAATGCCGGATCCCGTGGGGCTGTCCCAATTCCGTGCGGGATCATGGGGGTCCGGGTGGCAATGCTGGGGTTCCATGTGGGGCCGTCCCAATTCCGTGTGGGAACGCTGGGATCCCACGTGGCAGTGCCGGATCCCGTGGGGCCGTGCGCTCTCTCTGTGTCTCTGTCTCTCTCTCTCTATAAACGCTCGGCTCCAGCGCCTCCCGCCCGCTCCCAACTCACTGCGGGGCCCGGGGCAGCCGCGGGAACGGGGATACGGGAATGGGGATCTGGGAATGGGGATACGGGAACGGGGATCTGGGAATGGGGATCCAGGAATGGGGATGGGGATCTGGGAATGCGAATCTGAGCATGGGGATCTGGGCACAGGAATGGGGATCCGGGAATGGGGATCTGGGAATGGGGATCCGGGAAGGGGGATCCAGGAATGGGGATCCGGGAAGGGGGATCCAGGAACAGGAATGGGGATCTGGGAATGGGGATCTGGGGATGGGGATCTGGGAATGGGGATCCGAGCATGGGAATGGGGATCTGGGAATGGGGAGCAACGGGAATGGGGATAGGGGAATGGGGATACGGGAATGGGGATCTGGGCACAGGAATGGGGATCTGGGAATGGGGACCTGGGCACGGGGATCTGGGCACAGAGATCCGGGCACAGGGATCCAGGAATGGGAACGGGGAGCAACGGGAACGGGGATACGGGAATGGGGATCCGGGCACGGGAATGGGGATCCGGAGCAGGGAATGGGGATTTGGGCATGGGAATTGGGATCTGGGCACGGGAATGGGGATTTGGGAATGGGGATCCAGGCACGGGAATGGGGATCCGGGAATGGCAATAGGGATTTGGGCATGGGAATGGGGATCCAGAGCAGGGAATGGGGATCTGGGAATGGGGATCCAGAGCAGGGAATGGGGATCCAGAGCAGGGAATGGGGATCCGGAGCAGGGAATGGGGATCTGGGCACGGGAATGGGGATCCGGAGCAGGGAATGGGGATCTGGAGCAGGGAATGGGGATCCGGGCATGGGAATGGGGATCCGGAGCAGGGAATGGGGATCTGGGCATGGGAATGGGGATCTGGAGCAGGGAATGGGGACCCAGCCTCGCGAGCTGGGATCCAGAGCTGGCAATGGCTTCTGGAGGAGCAGCAGGGATCCGGGGCCAGGCACTGAGATCTGCAGCTGGAGCTGGGATCTGGGCACTGGAACTGGGATCTGGCCCCGGGAGTTGGGATCTGGGGCTGGGGTTTGGGATCTGGCCCCAGGAACTGGGATCCAGGCACAGGAATTGGGATCCAGCCCAGGAAATTGGAATCCAGGCATTGGGAATTGGGATCCAAGCATTGGGAATTGGGATCCAGCCCCGGGAACTGGGATCCAGGCACAGGAATTTGAATCCAGGGCTGGGAATTGGGATCTGGGATTTGGGATCTGGGCATGGGCATAGGGATCTGGGGTTGGGAACCGGGCTCCAGCTCAAGAAGTTGGAATCCAGGACCAGCAATTGGGATCTGGAGTCTGGAATTGGGATCCAGCCCCGGGAATTGGGATCTGGGGCTGGGAGTTGGGATCCAGGGATGGGAACTGGGAGCTGGGAATGGGAATTGGGATCCAGGGCTGGGAATTTGGATTTGGCCCCCGGAATTGGGTTCCAGAGTTGGGAATTGGGATCCAGGGCTGGGATTTGGGATCCAGCCTTGGATCCCCTGGAAATGGGATCCAGAGTTGGGAATTGGGATCTGGTCCTAGGAACTGGGACCCAGGGCTGGGATTTGGGATCCAGGGCCAGGATTTGGGATCCAGGGCCGGGATTTGAGATCCGGGGCTGGGATTTGGGATCCAGGGCTGGGATCTCCCCCAGAGGATCCTCAGGGAGTGCCCCCCCCACCCCCCTCCAGCCCCCACACTGAGGGGACCCCCCCAGTTCAAACCCAGTGGGGACCCCCAGATTCAGCCTCGGGTCCCCTCCCCGTGTCCCCCCCCAATGTCCCCCAAATGTCCCATCAGTGTCCCTCCAGTGTCCCCCTCTGTGTCCCCCCCGTGTCCCCAAATGTCCCATCAGTGTCCCCTCAATGTCCCCCAATGTCCCCCTCTCGTGTCCTCCTCTGTGTCCCCCTCCATGTCCCCCCTGGTGTCCCAAATGTCCCCTCCATGTCCTCTCCTATGTCCCCCCAATGCCCCCTCAATGTCCCCCCGTGTCCCTTCCCATGTCCCCCCCCCAGTGTTCCCCAGTGTCCCCCTCGGTGTCCCCAGTGTCCCCCCAGTGCCCTCTCAATGTCCCCCCAGTGCCCCCTCCAATGTCCCAAGTGTCCCCACAATGTCCCTCCGTGCCCCCTCAATGTCCCCCGTGTCTCCTTTGTGTCCCCCCCAATGTTCCCCCAGTGTCCCCACAGTGTCCCCTCAATGTCCCCCCAGTGTCTCCTTTGTGTCCCCCGCCTCCTCAGGGGGGCGCTCCCAGCCCCCCAGTGTCCTCCCCAGTGTCTCCGTGTCCTCCTCAATGTCCCCGCCATGTCCCCAATGTCCCCCAGTGTCCCCAATGTCCCCCAGTGTCCCCAGTGTCCTCCCCAATGTCCCCCCCAATGTTGTCCCGTGTCCCCTCCTGTGTCCCCCCCAATGTTGCCCCATGTCCCCCCCCGTACCCCTCGTGTCCTCCATGTCCCCTTTCATGTCCCCCAATGTCCCCCTGTTGTCCCTCCCGTGTCCCCCCAATGTCCATCCCGTGTCCCCACCTTGTCCCCTCAATGTCCCAAATGTCTCCCTCGATGTCCCCCACAATGTCCCCCCCGTGTCCCCCCCAGTGTCCCTTACAATGTCTCCCCCAACGTCCCCCCAGTGTCCCCCAATGTCCCAAATGTGCCCCCAATTTCTCCGTCAATGTCCCCGCCTGTCCCCCCCCAATGTCCATCAAGGTCCCCCTATGTCCCCCCCACTTGACCCCGCAATGTCCCCCCCTGTGTCCCCCCCAGTGTCCCCTCCCTGTCCCCCCTCCTGTGTCCCCCCAATGTCCCCCCAATGTCCCCCCCAATGTCCAAATGTCCCCTCAGTGTCCCCCCAGTGTCCCCCTCCCTGTCCCCCACTCCTGTGTGTCCCCATGTCCCCCCAATGTCCCCCTCAATGTCCCAGTGTCCCCTCCATGTCCCCCCTCCTGTGTCCCCCCCAAACGTCCAAATGTCCCCCCCATTGTCCCCCAATGTCCCCTCCCTGTCCCCTGCTCCTGTGTGTCCCCCATGTCCCTCCCAATGTCCCCCCCATGTCCCTCCCAATGTCCCCCTCAATGTCCCAGTGTCCCCTCCATGTCCCCCCTCTGTGTCCCCCCATATCCCCCCAATGTCCCCTCCATATCCCCCCAATGTCCCCTCCCTGTCCCCTGCTCCTGTGTGTCCCCCATGTCCTCCCAATGTCCCCCTCAATGTCCCAATGTCCCCCCACCCCCCCTGTGTCCCTCCGTCACCTTCATGTCCCCCCCAATGTCCCCCAGTGTCCCCCCAATGTCCTCCCCATTGTCCCTACAGTGTCCCCCCCACCCCCCCGTGTCCCCCCCCATCACCTTCATGTCCCCCCCATTGTCCCCCAATGTCCCCTTCCTTGTCCCCTGCTCCTGTGTGTCCCCCATGTCCCCTCCCAATGTCCCCCTCAATGTCCCAATGTCCCCCCACCCCCCTGTGTCCCTCCTGTCACCTTCATGTCCCCCCCAGTGTCCCCCCCAGTGTCCCCCCCCCATTGTCCCTACAGTGTCCCCCCATTGTCCCCCCAGTGTCCCCCCAATGTCCCCCCATTGTCCCTACAGTGTCCCCCCATTGTCCCCCCCCCATTGTCCCTACAGTGTCCCCCCACCCCCCCGTGTCCCCCCCATCACCTTCTGTCCCCCCCATTGTCCCCCAATGTCCCCCCCCGTGTCCCCCCCCACCCCCCCAAATGTCCCCCCCATCCCCCCCCAGTGTCCCCTCCGTGTGTCCCCCCCCCCATCCCCCCCCCCCGTGTCCCCTCGATGTCCCCGGTGTCCCCTCCCCCCCCGGAGCTGGCGCTGCCTCTGCAGGGTCTTTATTGGGGCTGGGGGAGGGGACACCGGGGGAGGGGACATTGGGGACACTGAGGGGAGGGGGACATTGGGGACACGGGGGGGGGGGACATTGGGGACACCGGGGGGGACACGGCAGGGAAGGTTCTGGAAGGTCCCGCGGGAGGAATCCATCGGGAGCGGCGGCGTCAGAGCCCTGAGGGGACAGCGGGGACAGGGAAATGTCACCTTGGGGACATTGGAGACACAGCACTGTCACACCTTGGGGACACTGGGGACAGGGGAAATGTCACCTTGGGGACACCGCAATGATGTCACCTTGGGGACACCGCAATGTCCCCTTGGGGACAGCGGGGACAGGGAGATGTCACCTTGGGGACACCACAATGTCACCTTGGGGACACCGCAATGTCACCTTGGGGACAGCGGGGACAGGGAGATGTCACCTTGGGGACACCGCAATGATGTCACCTTGGGGACAACGGGGACAGGGGAATGTCCACATGGGGACATTGGAGACACGGCACTGTCACACCTTGGGGACACTGGGGACAGGGAATGTCACCTTGGGGACAGTGAGGACACCGCAATGTCACCTTGGGGACACGGCACTGTCACACCTTGGGGACAGGGAAATGTCACCTTGGGGGACATTGGGGGACACGGCACTGTCACACCTTGGGGAACACTGCAATGTCACCTGGGGACACTGGGGACACAGCACTGTGTGTGTGTGGACATTGGGACAGGGAAATGTCACCTTGGGGACACTGGGGACCCCGCAATGTCACCTTGGGGACCACTGGGGACAGGGGAAATGTCACACCTTGGGGACACCACAATGTCACCTTGGGGACAGGGAAATGTCACCTTGGGGACATGGCACTGTCACACCAGGGGCCTCCTCTGGGCCTCCTTGTGTCACCTCTGTCCCCGTAGAGACCCCATTGTCCCCTCCCGGGTCACCCTGACCCTGGCAGTGTCACCTCTGTCCCCAGCAGTGTCACCCTGTCCCCTTCTGCTGTCCCCATGCACCCACTGCCACCCCCCCGTGCTGTGCCCCTGTCCCCGCAGCCATCCCTGCCACCCTCAGTGTCCCCAATGTCCCCTCCCTGATCCCCCGTGTCACCTCCCAGGCCCCCCAGTGTCCCCTCAATGTCCCCTCATTGTCCCCAATGTCCCCCAGTGTCCCCCCAGTGTCCTCAATGTCCCCTCAATGTCCCCACTGTCCCCCCGTTGTCCCCACTGTCCCCCCAATGTCCGCTCAATGTCCCCAACATCCCCAATCGTCCCAATGTCCCCAGTGTCCCCCAGTGTCCCCTCAATGTCCCCCTCATTGTCCCCAATGTCCCCCCAGTGTTCCCAATGCTCCCAATGTCCCCTCAATGTCCCCCCAGTGTCCCCAATGTCCCCTCAATGTCCCCAACATCCCCAATCCTCCCAGTGTCCCCCCGTGTCCCCAGTGTCCCCAACGTCCCCCATTTTTCCCCCAATGTCCCCTTGTGTCCCACTCAATATCCCCCCAGTGTCCCCATTGAGTCCCCAATGTCCCCTCAATGTCCCCTCAATGTCCCCCAATGTCCCGCAGTGTCCCCAGTGTCTCCCAGTGTCCCCATTGAGTCCCCAATGTCCCCCTCAATGTCCCCAATGTCCTGCCGTGTCCCCCCAGTGTCCCCTCATTGTCCTCTCATTGTCCCCAATGTCCCCCCCAGTGTCCCCATTGTCCCCCTCAATGTCCCCCCCATGTCCCCCATTGTGTCCCCCATCCCCCACTGTCCCCCCAATGTCCCCAGTGTCCCCCCAATTGTCCCCCATGTCCCCATTGTCCCCAGTGTCCCCAGTGTCCCCATTGTCCCCCCCATTGTCCCACCCTGTGTCTCCAGTGTTCCCCCAGTGTCCCCCATTGTCCCCTCAATGTCCCCCCCCAATGTTCCCATTGTGTCCCCAATCCCCCCCTGTCCCCCCATTGTCCCCAATGTCCCCCACTGTCCCCAGTGTCCCCCCCCATTGTCCCACCCTGTGTCTCCAGTGTCCCCCCAATGTCCCCAGTGTCCCCCCACTGTCCCCCCACTGTCCCCAGTGTCCCCCCCATTGTCCCACCCTGTGTCTCCAGCGCCTCCTCCGAGTCCGGCTCGTGGCGCCCCCCTGGGGACAGAGAACCCCCAAACTGTGACCACCCCAAAAATGGAGACACCCCAAAAATGGAGGACACCCCAAAAAATGGAGACCCCCCCAAAAATGGAGACCCCAAAACGGGAACCCCAAATTGAGAAAAACCCCAAAAACGGGAAACCCCAACAAATGGGAAACCCAAATTGTGGGAACCCCAAAACGGGAACCCCAAATTGTGGGAACTCCAAAATTGTGGGAACTCCAAAATTGTGGGAACTCCAAAATTGGGGAACCCCCAAAAATGGGAACCCCACATTGTGGGAACCCAAAAAATGGAAACCCCAAAAATGAGAAACCCAAATTGTGGGAACTCCAAATTGTGGGAACCCCAAATTGGGAACTCAAAAATGAGAAACCCAAATTGTGGGAGCCCTCAAAAACGGGAATCCCAAATTTTGGGAACCCAAAAAACACAGGGAACCCCCAAAAAAATGGGAACCCCAAAAAACCGGCAACCCCAAATTGTGGGAACTCCCAAAACTGGAAAATCCCAAAAATGGGAACCCCAAAAAACCCCGGGAACCCTAAAAATGGGAACCCCCAACCCCAAAAAACGGAAACCCCCAATTGTGGGAACCCCAAAAAACGGGAAATCCCCCAAATATGGGAAGCCCCACAATGGGGAACCCCCAAAACGGGGAACCCCAAATTATGGAAACCCCAAATTGTGGGAACCCCCAAATTTTTTGGGTTAGGGTTTTGGGTCTGGGGGCTTTGGGACCCCCCCCCCCGGGTCAGGATTTGGGGCTTTGGGGGTTTGGGGATTTTGGGGTCTGGGGGTTTTGGGGATTTGGGGTTTTAGGGTCTGGGGGCTTTGGGGTCTGGGGGCTTTGGGGACCCCCCCAGGGTCAGGATTTGGGCTTTGGGGGTTTTGGGATTTTGGGGTCTGGGGGTTTTGGGGATTTGGGGTCCGGGGGTTTTGGGGTTTTGGAGACCCCCTCAGGGTCAGGATTTGGGGTCTGGGGGCTTCGGGGCTTTGGGGCATTGGAGACCCCGTCAGGGTCGGATTTGGGGTCTGGGGGCTTTGGGGTCTCGGGGCTTGGGGGCTTTGGAGACCCCCCCAGGGTCGGATTTGGGGCCTGGGGTTTTGGAGATTTGGGGTCTGGGGGCTTTGGGGACCCCCAGGGTCAGGATTTGGGGTCTGGGGCTTTAGGATTTTGGGGGGTTTTGGGGATTTGGGGTCTGGGGGCTTTGGGGCTTTGGAGATCCCCCCTGGGTCAGGATTTGGGGTCTGGGGGCTTTGAGGGATTTGGGGTCTGGGGGCCTTGGGGGGTTTTGGGGCTTTGGGGTCTGGGGGCTTTGGGGTTTTGGGGCTTTGGGGTTTTGGGTCTGGGGCTTTGGGGGTTTTGGGGTTTTGGGTCTGGGGTCTCACCCTCCTCGGACTCGCTGGACTGGGAGGGGACATCAGAGAGGGGACCTGGGGGGGGGGAGGGGACATTTGGGGACCCCCGCACCCACGGGGGCCCTGAGACCCCCCCAGACCCCTCCCCAACATCCAGGGACCCTCCCCAACACCCCCGGACCCCCCCAGACCCCTCCCCAACACCCCCGGACCCCTCCCCAACACCCCCAGACCCCCCCACCATCCAGGGACCCCCCCCACCATCCAGGGACCCCCCAGACCCCTCCCCCACCATTTCTGGGACCCCTCCCCACCACCCAGGGACCCCCCAAGAAGTTTGGGACCCCCCCCACCCCCCCCAATTTCGGGACCTCCCCTCCCCCATTTCGGGGACCCCCCCCCCACTTTGGGACTCCCCCTCATTTCGGGGACCCTCCCCCATTTTGGGACTCCCCTCATTGGAGACCCCTCCCCATTTAAGCCCCCCCCCCCATTTTAGGACCCCCCCCCCCCCCCCAATTTTGAGGACCCCCTCCCCCCAGTTTGGAGACCCTTCCCCACCACTTTTGGGGGACCCCCTCCCCATTTTGGGACCCCCTCCCATTTCGGGAGCCCCCC